TGAGTTTTCTGGCGATGATGATGCCTTTCTTTTCTTTGACTCTTTCGATCCTTTGCCTTTCGAAGCCTTTTTGGCAGACGAATCTTTCTGGCGGAACAACTGTTCCACAACTGAGTCATGCTCCGTCGACTCGAACTGTTCATCCCAGACTAGGTACAAGGTCATCTCACTGTTGAGAGGCGCGTCTGGATGTGGACGCTTTGCATCCGGTGTTTGCTCTTTATGTGCAACGATTTCCTCTGCTATGGACTTAGCTTCTGACTCAGTCCGTCCAGGCGCATACTTACTGACTATGTCAGCTTTTGTCATCCATCTGCGTCCACCCTTCTGCCGCTCCGTCGTCCGCTGCTTCATGCGAATGACGAAGCTGCTTTGTTGCCAGTCCTCGCTACAATTTACCCACTCCTCAAAAAGCACTGCCAATTTTTGCCTCTTATTTCCTCCTGATCAGGTGTGATTGCTAGCTGTTAAGTTTGTATGGAGTTGCAATATAATATAGTTTCAAAACAAGAACCACATACGTGAACATAAAGCTTTAAAGTGTATATAGAAATTCAAAAGCTAATAGTTAGTTATATTATATAGTACTTCCAAAGTTGGCATACGTAAGAGGCCTGAGTTAAATATATGACCTGTCCAACATGAGACCAAACTGGAGAGAGCGTACAACTTCTGTAGCAGGCACTGCTGGTTAGGTGTCTCCCAATTTCTCGGAACCATAAGGAACAATCAAAAACACTGCCAGCCAGTTGATTTTCAAAAGTCTCAGCACTACTATAAAGATACCACAACACACAGGGTTTTGATATCAGATTATTCTAAGTGGAGATAAACACCATGATTTTGTTATGGGTGACTGGTTCGATGAAACTACTGAGCTTAGGTTCAGCGAGGTTCAAAAGATTATGTTTCTCAAGTCTGTGTTGCATCAACGTGATGCAGGAACCAAAAGGTCATGTTCCTATTGATGATACCACACACACACACCTCATGAAGCTGGATTCAGGTCTAGCCATAATAAAGATATGAAATGCAGCGGGCTCAATGATTCCCTGCCCTCAGGCACACTGACTGCGGCACTGTCCTGTGCGGGCATTCTCGGCCATGTCCTGGATTTCATCGGGGCTTGATGAGCCTGGGCTTGCAATGTGTGCAGTGAGATGCATTGGGTGTCATATTAGTAACCATGCATGCAGGATATATTCTGTACTTTACTATATACACGATTCCTGTGTGACATGTCATATGATAAAAAATAGTTCTTGGCACGTATGTCTACAAATCATGTGACATACGTCATATGTTGAATTCAAGATTATCGATATGGATTGCCCATGAGTCTGTCATTATTGTCAAGCATTGCATTGAGTCCGCATGTGGATATATCATGTTAAAATCAAGGTGGTCCACTGCTCACGTGTTTTGATACCAATGGCCATTAGCTAATTAATTCATATTCATGAGCTATACCCTACATATATTACAGTCGAGACACTCTCCAACGATCGGTAAAATCTCATCCGTCGATTGTGGGCATCTTTGTTACGGACAACTGTCCCCTTCTTCTTCTTCATCAACGGATCTTTGGCTAGATCACTGGTGGGCATGGGTGTGGCCGTGCTGCTCGGCGTCGCTGGGGCAGGCAGGGCTGGAGCTGAGGGTGCAGGCGGGGCTGAATGACCCAGGTCGGCGGTCTGGGCTCTGTTCAGCATGGCCTTGACTGCAGTTGCTTGTGCCTGAGAGTGTGCTTTGGCTTGCTCACTCTGTGCAGGGGAGGGTGGTGCTAGTGGAGGGTCTGGTGCGACTGTGGTAGGTTCTTGCTGTTTAACAGTCTGCTCAGGCTGAACTTGTTTTTGTCCTTGGTCATGTGGGTCAAGAGATTTGTTGGCCTGTTGTTCGGGCGTGTTTGCTGGTGGTGCTTGCACTGTCAGCTGCTGTTGTGGTGTGTTTCCGTTTCCTTTCTTGCAAGCATTCTTCTTCTTCTTCTGTTGTTTGTTTTTCTTCTGGATCTTCTTCTGTTGCTTGGTGGTGCTTGCACTCTTTGCCTGTGCTGCCTGCGAGTTGTTGTTGTCATTTGTTCTGGTGTCCATGGGTTCGTTTGGTGATTGTGTCCCTGATGCAGGCTGCTGCAAAATTGACATTGACATCACTCGACGCAGGCAGGGTGTGGCTGGCAACCTTTTCGGCTGTGCTTCTTTTTGCTGTTGCTCTTGGAGCTGCCTTGCAGATTCTTCTCTTTGTGCTTGCTGGTACTTCTGGATTGCCATGGCTCTGGCTTGTTCATCTGTTCCTGGAACAGTTGAAGCCTCACTGGTTGGACTCTCTGCTGCTGCAGGTGCTTTTGCTGCGGTCTGACGTTTCTTCTGTGGGCCTGTGAGGTGGTTGATTTGTCAGAAACTGAAGAGAAGGGTCATTGTCACATTATGAATGCATGCATGGTTATCACTGATGATGGGTTTCCAAAACAATACCGTTCTCATTCAATCAGGAACTTGAGAAAACACCATCGACATGGCAAAAGGCTATCGCACATACCTGATGCGCTAGTAATGTTAGTAATATTATAGAATTTTGTTGTTTTGCATGATAATATATAACCTACATGCCACGGGCATTTTTTACATGTGTGACAGGAAAATGGTCGACCGGTCCTGCCTTCCGGCTGAGGATGTTGTGATGCCAGCTTCGCCTTGACGCGCTGGTCCCGCTCTCTGGCAGCATCTAAGAGCTTCTTTGCTTCGTCCATGGAGGGCAAAGCAGAAACACCCCCAAAATGGGTCGAAATCCGGAAGTACCCAAACTTTCTTTCATGATAAAAAATATTGCACAGTTCTGAGATTATCCTGGGATTGGAGAAAATATAATGAGAGGATGTGCGAAGAGAAGTGTGTTGACTAGCTGTGTTATCCATCGCGTGCTTTCGTCATGTTTCCCATCATACCTTGTGATCTAATCAGATGCAACATGAACATTACTGGAGCCACTGCGTTCAATCCCCACAAAACACATAAAGCTCCCACAAAAGCAAACCAATCCCTGAAGCAATGGTTTGTTGGAATACAATTTGATTTCATTCCACAATTTTCCAGATCAATTCCTGTTTTTTATTCCCTTTTCACAACTAAACCAAAATCACCCGAAAACTGGGGGTTTTGAGACCACGGCAAAGTTTGGGTTTTCCACGGCAAAGTTTGGGATTTCCACGGCAAAGTTTAGGATTACCACGCCAAAACCACGCCAAAACCACGCACCCGGTATGATCCAAATTGGATCAAAATTGTTTTTTTCAGCGCTGATTTGTCTGATGATCTTGGACATACCATGAATCATTCATTGCAGGAAATTTTGATACATTTTGCAAAGTATGTGTATCACACAGATGGGTGAGCCACGTGTCAAACCCGATGGGAAGAAACAGCTTGTAGGTAACATCCTTTGATCATTTTGGTGGTCCAAACATGTTTAAACCCACCCAAACTGTGTGGATCCATCTAATTTGTCAAAAGCTCATTCATGGATACTTTTTGGGGCATCCATGGTTCAACTTAGTCAAGTCCCATGGTCAGCACCGGCCGATAACGTCCAGCGTCTCTCTCGGACCTGAGGAAGCTTTGTACATCTCCCAGCTTTGCTGCTGACCACCACTGCAGTGACTTGGCCTGCAGGTCGCGCAGTCTGTCAAGCTTCTGACGCAAACTGGGGTCACGTCAGGCAGGCTTGAAGTGGGAAAAATGATGTGAGAATTTCGTAGAAGATAGAATCTATAGGAAGTTTCAACCTTTGTGTCATGGCATGTCCAAAAGCTTTGATCACTTTGCCATTTCATGTGATATTGAAAGTTTGGCTTCGAAGTGAACTATCATGGACCATTCACATTCAGATGTCAACTTGAACTGTTCCTAAATTAAAAAACTGACCTTGTCTAGAGCCCCGTGGACAAGATCAAACGTGGCCAGATCATCTCCATAAAGGTTACGTCGAAGATCGCCAGCATGGGAAACCTGAGATGTCAAAACAGACTAGCCTTCGCTATAATAATATAAGGGTTAAAAATCTTTATGCCCTAGCTAGGCGTTTCAATGGTTTGTGCGTGATCATTGACTCCATGGCAATTAAATATGCATGCATATGCTGGTGTCAGTGATTTTTAAAACAAGTATCCAGCCATTCGCTGTGTAACTTTTGGATGCGACGGCCATATCCTCGAGGATATACCTGTGACTGCTTCAGTTTCGGTCCACCTTTCCTGAGCAGGATCTTGCTGGTGTTACCCCGGGAACAGTTGGCGATCAACGGTCAGTACTGTACTGATGCTGGTGGCTTTGTGAAAATTCACCTCCTACAGTGACTTGGGCTGGGACACTCGGCTTCGTCCCTTACTATCACGGTAGCGAATCACCATTTTTCCAGATGCCAATTTGCGCAATTGGGCTTGCTTCTTCTTGGTCATCTTTTTGTACAGTCCGGGAAGAAATGGCCTAGGAGCCGGGTGAAAACATCATATGATATGTTTGGTGGAACTGCTCCGCAGCCAAACTTACAAATAAAATTCAGTACACAAAATCAACCATCATGATCACTCTCACGCACAAGGCCCCAACGCAGTACCAAAGTTTGTGGACGGTTTGGGTCTCGAATGGCCCCATGTGCCCATCCAACTCAGCTCAGCTAGGGCAAGTTTGGAATAAAACGCAGTTGTTGATTCGCAATGCAATAAAGCCACATCACATAGCAATTAATGGTTAACAAAGTATCGATATAGATCAATCTTCACGATAATGTGCCCATCTTCAGATTTAAGCACCAGGCTAGTTGACAACATACCACGGAATGATTTGGCGTAGAACCCGGGACAGGTGCTTGAAATACTTTACAGCCTTCATGATCGATGATCGTGGTTGCTCAGAAATCGTGAAGACACACCTTGCAATACAAAGAATGCAAATCAAGGCCCAACGAGCCATGATCCTTAGTTTCCAGATTCAAGGTAGCAATGTTGATGGGGCTGGGCCACAAAAACAACAATAATGAGATTACTTTGCAATTTGAGTTAGGATGATGTTGCATGAAAAATATAATTCTGATTTATTCATGGTTCTGGTTGCCATGAGCGACTGTGGGCTCCAGTTGGTCTCCCATGGGACGTGCTGCCGATCGTTTGCTCGTCCCACGGTTCAACCAAATGAAAGACGAGCACGGTGGCCCTCCGTGGGCCACCCCGTCCTCCACCACCCGAAGTGCCATTTGCACCAAGCGCAAAAACCCTTGCCTTGGACAATCGCAAAAGCTCAATCACATATTCAATGTGTAATTTTTGTTTTCACAAGCTGAACCATAAATTGCCGAATCTGATTTTCAAAGGCTTTTGACGCCAGAATTGGTTTGACTAGTTCCCTGTTTTTTCATGGTCCATAAGTTTGGATAGCGTCATCTCTCAAGTTGACATGGTTTATTTCAAAACAAACTTTCAGAAAATGGCTAACACACAAGTGCACCCCAAGGAATCCTGACCGACCAGCAAAATGGACAAGGTCACGAACTAATCGAAGATTTGACAATTAAAGACATGTCATATTATGGATGTTATGTAAAATAAATGTTATGCAATTCTTGAAGTCAACATCAAAAATTATAAAGTCAAAGCATTTTCAGATAAGATGCTATGGATTCCGGATGGGATACCCGTCAGATTTATTGATCAGTATATATAAATAAGTCAAACACCCTAGGTCTGGGAACCCGGCAGTGTCAGAATGTCATCCAACATGGGTCGCTGCTCGATGTCATAGTTCAGGCTTAGCCGAGAGGCCAGTCATCAATATATACACATGTCTGATAATATTGTGTCACTTGTTGAAACCCCAAGTGATCCACTGACATTCCAATGATCTGACCCAAGGGTGAAACAATGAGATGAGAATTAAAAGCCAGTACTGGAACTTCTTCATTACCCAAAACCACCAAAATCAAGTGAATTTTTAACATGGATCATAATCCTCCATTCGTTTGGTTGGACATTTTCCAGAATAAAAACTTTGATATAACATCATGATTTATATCAACAAATAATAAACAATTTGTCAACGATGCTATATTAAAAAAATAGGTTTCAATTGGTGTTGCTCTCCTGGTGTTCATTCTCTTAATCTTAGTGGCAGTTGTGAAAGCTGCCACATCACGTTGTTGACCTGAGGAAACGACGCCTTGAAATCCTTGTCACCTGGGAGACGAACGCCGAACGCTGCAGACACCGACATGCATGCATGACCAATGTGCCCGAGATGAAACTTGCAAAGAAAAATGCCTACATAACTGATTCCAATCGCTTGGGTAAACTCGGTTTCCTGACGATAGGCATGCGATACCGATGCTTGTCCACTGAAAATATCGATGGCTGCAATGTCCTTAGTAGGCTACATTATGGACATGAGGTCATGTCAGGTCTCAAGTCTATAATATAATATACATTAATATACCATATAAATCATGATATATATTATATCTGAGATCGAGGGGTTGCCATAGCGAACATGATATATCCACTATCAGCTGAAGATCAAGTCATATGATTGACATGGGTTTGAAATACATTTTTTCGGTGTGGTGACATCTTGGCTGCTGATCTGGCGCACTGAGGAGCCGACTCTCTTGGCATTCGGGGAGCTCGGATCTGTTATCTGTGCAACATAATCACAGATGTGGAGCCTGGGTCAGACAGGGGGCAGGGCTTTGGCACATGGGATGCGTGATGTGATTGTCAAGTTTGAAGTTGAGTAGAAGCAAACGAGGCACCAGTGCTGACAACACAATATAACCGAGCTACAGTAGGATTGGTCCACCAAGTGCACAAATCGTTGCCGCTGCTCTCGTGGTGAGTGCCAAGGGTGATTTCATCCATGATGCTTTTCGGGGGCCCGCCATGGCTAAAATGCCTAAAATATGTTGAACCAAACTTCCGGGTGCAGTAGTGCAATGTTGATTGAGATATCACATGACACAATCGCGACAATCATGAAGCACGCACGACGATGGTTAATTGTCCCGTCTTAGAGTTTCAAAATCAAAGCAGCTAGCAGGTAGATGGGATGTCAAGGCAGCTTGGCGCTCGCAAAATCATCATGATTATGTAAACAAATTAATACAGTGTAGTCTATATAAATAATAATAATATTGTACACATATTCCATCACACAACCCAGCACCCACCAGTTTTAGGGTCAAAATCGCTGCTGCACAGCCACCAACCGAGGACCCTACGCCCTATGCCCAGCACTGGTGCGAACACTGAGCTTTGGCATGCGGAAGTGTTTCAAACATTTTTTGGGGTAAAGTCCACTGACAGGACAAGAACTGCACGGATTCAATCATGATGGTTTGCCCGTGTTCAAATACCGTGGCTATGAAGAGAATTCACTGATTTCTAGAAAACACATTGCATAACTTTCAAGCTCAGACCTACTTGATTGATCATGATTGGATTGCTAGTCTTCGTGCACAGGCACATCTGCCTTCACTGGGACCCAACCAGCCGCCTTGATTGCCAAAACCCACCTTGGAATCACAAATAAAAGTCATTCAGGTCAGTATGTTTGGCAAAACTAGGTTTACCCTGAAACAGTTGAAGTTGGGCATGTCCTAATGTGACACCGTCCGTTATTTGATGACTTTGTTCAGGTTGGTTTGGTATCATGATCAACTATCCTCATTTCTCCATGAAAAATACTCAACTTGGTTCACAACACAAGTGGGTCAAAGTGGTACCTTGTGATACGAATCAGCTTTCAACATGACTGCACTGACTCATGGCTCAGGACCATGCGCTGCTGGCAAACCTCTGCCAGTCCACGTGATGGAGACTCCAGATTGCTTCTCGTTGGTCTGCAGCGGGGCAGACAGTGACATGCACTCGTGCAGATTATTTGTGTAAATAAGGTTTTGTGATCTGAGCAATTCAATGGTTCACGTTTGAAAATTCTTTTGGGATCGCCAAAAATCACGATGTACAATCACTAGTAGTACTAAGACTAAATTCCATTGTATAAAATAATACTCCTCAATGACAGCGGGTACCCGTGCATGTCAAGCCTTCAGAGTCTCATCGTGCTGCATGTTCAAGAGCGCAATGTGTTGCTTATCGACCTTGTTGATGTAAAAGTTCCCGGCGCCCCGGTCCAACCTTGAGAGATTGTCAAGATGATGGTTGCAAAGGCCATAGTACCAAATACTTCAGGCATTTCAAACAGAAATCTTTGATATATATTATATTCTATAATATATCAACTAATTAATATTATTTATTAGTTTAAAATAAGGTATGCAATATATATTATATATGGCATTCAAAACATCTAATTTCTATATGCATGTATAAAAATGATATTCAATGATATAAATATAATATATTTATTCTATACTGCATTGTATAAATTTGCCATGTCGACTACCCTACCATCCAAATTGGGGCCCACACAGAACACCGATGCTGGTCTGCTCAATTTCAAGGTCTTCATTGTTTTCAGACACTCGCAGATTGGCAGGTACACGTAGGGTAAAGCTCCTGAGGTTAAACGCTGCAGGTTATGTAGGGTTGTAGAGTAGCCGTGTGTGATCCATCATCTGAAAGCTTTTAAGGGTATATACCGGTATACCCCTATATCATGATATTGAAAGTTTGGAGTATTTCATCTGACTCACGTAAAAAACAATACTACAGAACTAGAGAAGTTGACATGCATTCCGGCAACCTGAGGATTGCACTTTTTCGTGGCCACATCATCTGGCAAATTGAAGTATGGCAGGCGGGGCCCCTTGTCACGGAGCTCTTGCACGTTGGCCTCCTGAAGTCGGCTGACCATGGGTTCGATGGGCATAGGACACAAGATACACAAGAAAAGCCATGGAAAAATTGCAATGATATTGGATTCTTTTCAATATAACTTTAAAATCGGTATGTTGATTCCATCAACTGTCACATGCAAACTAAAGTCAACAATGTGATACCTGTCGTTCTATCTTAAGAAGGCTGACTTGGTCAATTGTCATTTTGATTTGATTTCTTTTAGTTCTTGATTTATTATTTGTATATCGATAAAAACATATGCTAAGATATGTGGGAATACATGGTCAGGTCAGTGTTATGTCCTGGTTTCTCTTCTTTCTTGCAGCCCTTGGAGTCATCTTGGGTGTCTTCTTAGGTGTCTTTGTTGGTGTTTTCTTCTTGGGTGTCTGCGCCTCCCCTGCAGGTGGTGGTGTCTTCGGCTGTGCTGCTTCTGGTCCTTCTTTGTTCTCTTCTGGGTCTGTCTTGTCCTTCTCTTTGGCATCTTCTGGCTCTGCCTCCTTCTTTGTGCGTTTCCTTGTGTGCTTTGCTTTTGTCTTTGCTGCTGAACACTTAGGTTTTGCATCCTTAGACTGCTCAGGTTGGTCAGCCTCACCAGGGACATCACCTTTGTCTTGCCTTGCGTCTGCGACGTTTTGTTCAGCAATTTCTGCTGCCACCTCAGCTGCAACGTCTAGTGTCTTTGGTAGGGAATGGCTAGGCATGCCACCTTTGTCTGTGCGAGCTTTCTTGCTCACTGGCTCAGTGTTGTCGGGATTGGGCACTTTATGTTTTCCACCTCTGCCCCGCCCCCTTCCTTTACCTTTGGTCTTCTTAGGTGGTTTTCCTTCGTTGCCTGAATCACTATCACCTTCATCCTTGTACTGTCTGTCGATATCCTCCTCAGCCTCTTCCTCTAGCTTCGCTTCACGAATGGACTTCCGAAGAATCGCTTGTGCCTATCGCATGAATGAACATGAGTAGAAGCAGCACCCAAAACAGCATTAAGATCAGAAGTAAAGACAGTGCGTGACATGCTAATTTTCCATTTGTGCTGGTCCCGCAAAAAAGGCCCCCACAAGTCCCAAACTCTTTCATAAAATGCAAAGAAAACTCTATTTTGGGGGGACTTGTGGGGGCCTTTTTTGGTAAACCAACCGAAGTGGAAATTTACCAGCGTGACATACACAGCAATGCTTCAAAGCCAAACTTAAACTAACAACTACATTGATGATCAGAAAACTGAACTTTCAAAACACAAAATTCAGGATGCCTTCAGTAAATTCTTCTGCACATCCCTTCCTTTCATCGCTTCAGTCAACTTTGCCACTGATGTTTCAATCTGGGCTTGCAACGAATCGTCTTCACCCGCAGCGTCGGGTAATGGGCAGATCGGCTTGTGGTCCTGGAAAACAGGTTTTGGGTTTTTGGGACAAACATGCTGGGGAAAAACGAAACTGGTTTTGTCACCTCTCCTGGAAAGTGCCTTTTTGGTAGGTAGTCTTCTCTTCAGTCTTACCCTTTGATTTGTCTTTTGTCTTTAAACCTTCGTCTTCAGATCCCAAGACTTCTTCAACACCGGGAGAGGGCACAGGTTCAGATGCCGCAGGGGCTGCAGGGGCTGCAGGTTCATTCTCTGAAGGAGCCTTCACATCCTTTGGGATGTTCTTGGGATCATCTTTTGGGATCGCCGGGGGTGCATCATTTCCATGTGATTGTGAATCCATGTAGTGCGCATCAACAGAATCATCTTTCACCAAATCATATGCAGCTTCGTCATGGCAAATGATGGGAGTTACTATTTCATCATCTGTCAGGCTTTCCTCTTCCCCCTGTTCATCTTCTTGGTCTCCAGTCGGGTCCCCCTGGCCCAAATCCACGGAATCCCCGCAAGCTTGCTGGGAATCGGGCAAGCTCTCCATGGCCGCCTCCACTTGGGACTCAGTCATTGGAACCGTCTGGGCGAGGTCAGCGGGTGCTCCCAATTGCTGGTTGGGTGCATTTGGCTGGTCAGGTGCATCATCCTTTGTCTCGATCTTTCTTGCCTTTTTTGTGCATCGCCTTTTCACCTGCCCGTGAAAAACAAACCAAAAGTTTCAACCGGTACTGTGCTAACCAAAAGTAGAAGCTACAAAATGGAACAAAGAGGAACATGCCAGTAGACTTTCATATCATGCCTCAAACGATGATCTTCCTGGAGTTGGAAGTTTCTTCCCAGAAGGTGTCAAAAGTCCTTTGTCCTGGCTGTCTGCAACTTGTGATTTCTATTTTTCTCGCAGGTCAAATCAGGTCCATTAAATTATTATTTCGCATAATAGGAATCGATGTCTAATATACCCATTATATATGACAGTCAATGTGTTATAAGATGGTAATATGAACTATCAATATCATTCAGCCATGGTTGCAGTGTGGCCCAACACAGTCCTGCAACCTCATGTGCACGATCGTCTTGAGGGCACGCATTTTGTCATGCCCAGTCCTGGCACAGTGAATGGGTTTGACCCCGCGCTGGTGGTGGATTTTGTACTGTGCAATCTGTATTTATCTACTGCACAAAATTTGGAGATGCGCATTAGATGATAGAATGTTTGAGCGCATGTGTATCCAGCATGATGTGATACTCTGACGGGCCTGCATGATCTTGGCTTCCTTTGGTACAAGTTGGTGACATGCGAGGCCATTTGGCGAACCATCTGTGCCTCGTTGCGTGCCCAAGCCTGGCAGGCACATGGGAAAGACATCAGACTGAGGATGCAATGGCTCATGCATGCATATACTTGATTTACTCAAGCAAATGATTAATAGGATCCCTCATCTTCGATCTTCAATTATTTTAATAGCCTAGCCTCGTGCTGGGACTTGTTGGTAAAGTGCGGGTTCAAATGAACCTCGTTACAGATCTTCACCAAGGACTCCTGGAAGTGTCAGCCGAACTAGGGTGTTATGACGAAGCATGCATGAACTTTGCAGACCATTCAAAATAAGATTTGACAGTAAGATGTATCATACAACAGCTGCTCAAACTTCTTCAATATTTTATTTAAAATCGACCGGTTGCACATATTAAAATATATGACTTTCTCTGAAGAATAAATATTTGTCAAGTCGGTGCCTCCACCTCATACTTCGTTGGCAAGTCCCCAGCGAAGGTACTCAAGTACTTCAAGAGGAACTGGTAGTTCTCTTCTCGTTCAACCTGGCAAGGACAGTTCAATGGATGGGGGCAGCCACTGTGTACAACATGGATAGTAAGTACGATGATACCAGTGATATCTACAAGATGATTTACAATAAAAATAATGCTGTTCATGTTGATCATAGCCCGTGGTGACAGGTATATGAATTAACTTGTGTACCAATCGCCTTGAATCGAAAGCCATACCATTCCCTCCCAAACCTAAACCAAGCCCACCTGCGCTTCAGAAATTGCGTCGCACTTCTGAAGGTCGACGAAACTAAAAACCTCCGCGGGCAGGGTCAGTCCATGCGGGCATGGGTCATTTAAGTAAGCCCGGCCTTGCTCCCGGTCTTTTTCTTGATGTCACGCTTACGTTCTTTGATGTATTCATCATCTTGCTCCAGCAGACTTTTCCAAAAGTCCTAGGGCCCAAGAATCCAAAATAACCATTAAAAAAGTGACCTTTGAAATTGCTATTTCAATATAATTGTTCAGAAATTTTATTCTAATCATGTGGTGGGAAACTGTGGTATATTATCTGAACACTACCTAGTGTAGTATCACGTTTGTAGAAAAAGCCACATGGAACAGCAGAACTGAATCGACAGCGGAAAGCCCAATCCTCCAGGAGAGCCAACCGTTCTGTGCTCATGCGACTGGGTCTTCGTTGCACCACCATCGCAAGAGAGAAGTGGGTGAGGAAGGGGTAGGCTTTGTGTTGGATAACAGCGGTTTCGGTTTCAAAGGGTGACCTTGCATCATCTGATTCTGTTTGATGTTTACTGGTTCAACGAACTCTGACATGTCAGTTTGATGGTTGAAACGCCGCTGGGATGATGCATGTGACGTCACAAACAAGTTGAAATTGATCAATCTATATGTGACAAAGTAAAACAAACAATGTCAACATCCTTCAGCATCCTTCGCTTTGAAAAGATAAGTATCGATCACCACCCGCTATGCTATCCAAAGAACCAGTATAATGCGCAATACGGCTAATGATCTATGACAAAACCATTAAGATATCTTAGGATGTTGTCACACGGTTGATGGGCAAAATCTGTCACCAGCTGGTATATTAGAAGACCTGCAATTTCCCAGGCAGGGCGAAAGGGCTGGCACCTTCGGTCCTCTCGCAGTCCTCATCTCCAGAGAGCCCATACGAGGCATCATTGTGTCCTGCAGCGAAATGGTGAGACCCGGGGTTCGAAGTGGAACTTAATATAGTTGGTGGGCAATAAAGATGAAATACCAGCCGTCATGACTACAGGGGCCTACTTGGAACCCATACCCCCGTGGCACCATATGCAATTATATAATCTACACGCTTAGTAAAGCATGTGAAAGTACGGGCTATATTATATTTAAAGAAACTGCAGCAGTCCTTCCACTGGTCTCTTCCTTTTGCCCATTCTTTTGTAGATGACCTGGCGTTGTGCGCTGGGCTTTTTTTTGGTTTTAATCTCTGAGACCAGTCCAGGTGAGAGACAATGGGGGTCATGGCAGTAGTACTAAACAAATCTAAGCAACATATGGCATGCGTAGGACCTTGTAGAACCACTCCTACTGTACTTTACTAGTGATCTGATTTTTTTCCATGCTGACATCGATGCCAAAACAATACCAGGGCATCTTTGATATTAAGTTTGTCTGACATATGTTCTGTCATATGTTCTATTTTATGTCACATGTCACCCGAGTCAGTCAAAGGAGACAAGGCCCTGACACAAGTCCATGCAGTCTAGCCGAGGAAGATCACCGCCAGACATTGCAGCAGCGAGAGCGATGACAAGAAAAAAAGTCCCAAAGCGTACCGACATGCATTGAAGGTGTTGGCATCCTTTCTACTGAATCACAACTCATATACTCCCAACATGTGGTGACATTTCTTGGAAAGATATGTTCATAATGTCTGAAAATCAATGTATTTCATTAATTGTTATATCATATCACTTTGTTTTCTACTGGTCATGTCCTTATCTTAGCATTCCTGCGAACCTACCATCCAGCTGAGCCCTGCATGTGCAAAGTTCGATCCTAGGTAGTAGCTAGATGTGCAATGTTTGGGTTCTAGGAAAGGGTATCCTTTGCACGTCCTTAGACCTTAAGGGTATATACATATGTGAATACATCAGCATGCATATACTCCTACTAGGTAATAATACTTCCAGAACTTGTCGCATTTCCTGCTGCAGGTGGAGAAGCGCTCTTCGTCACGGGAGACTTATGTGCGACCACGCGGGCCCGCTGACAAGTCTGAGCGCACTGCAGACAAGTCTGATCGCAAGAGCAGCAGAACAGGCACGGCAGCAGATGCCGGGCCTGGGGTTGAAGATAACAGGGGGGCACCTGCGACTGGCGGGCCTGAAGTTGCCAGGACAGCACCTGAGGGTGCCACTGGCAAGCCTCCTTCTTCAACGGGTGCTTTTAAAGCAAATAAGAAGAACAAACCCAGGCGTGACCTGCAGTGCTGGATCTGCCACCGTTGGATCACGGACAACCCTTGCAGTCGTGACCAGCACGAACGTAGTCTGTACTGTATGACTAAGCGGTACATGTGGCAAGGCTATGCAGAGGGGGTCGCTACTAAGATGGCTGAGGCCTATGTAGCGTCGCTGTGGGAAAGCGGTGACAGGCATCAGTGGTCGCGGCCACCTGCTGAGCCGCACGCCTTGCCCCCCAAGGATGGCAAGGATCGCAGCCGCAGCAGAGCACGGTTGCGTTCCCGTGAGGAGCCTGGCTACCGTAGGTATGTGCCTGAGGATGAACAGCGCGGACGTCGCCGCCGACGCACCCGCCATCATGATGACGGCGACCGCACGTCTGCGAGCAGACGTCACGGTCGCTCCCGTGAGCATCGCCGCAGCCGTGCAACATCAGAGCGGGAGCGCCGTCGCCGCCCCAGGACCGAATCTCCTCACGCGGACTGCGGTCGCACGAGGAGCGCGGAACACCGCGAGAAACGGCGGCAGCTGGACCATGCCAAGGAAGCAGCTGCAAATTCTCCACGCCGGACTGAATTGCCAGCAGCGGAGAGGGCAGCTCCCAAGCGAGACATTGCAGCACAGATGGTTTCCAAAGCTGACAATAAGAAGATCAAGCAGAAGCAAGAAAACGAGGAGGCAGAAAAAAATGAAGAAGAGCAGGAGGAAGAGGAATCGAGCTCCTCTTCCTCAAGTTCTGACTCCAAAGAGGCGTCTGCGGACGCCTCAGAAGCAGGTGCGCCTGCTGCTGGGCAAACTGCCCCGGAAAATGTGGAAACCAGGCCTAAGGCTGCTTCGAAGACGGCGCCACCACCCAAGGTGCCGGCTGAGGCCGCAACCGCATCCACCCCCACAGCCCCTCTGCCGACAAGCCATCATGCTGCGGCACTCGAGATGGCAAATAGTTTGCTGGCCACGGCCATGCGTGAGGCCAAGCGTCTCCTGTGAGAGCAGCAACAGACCGCACTGATGAGTTTGAAGCAAAAAGAGACGCCTCCGAGCTGTGGGAAAGGGAGCCCCAAAGCCTAATAATACGTATGTGTTTCTAGGTATTTCCTACCGCAAAACCTCATAACACGTATGTGTTTCTGGGTCTTTCCAAACCCAAAACCGAATAACACATACGTGTTTTAGGGCCGTGGGGACCCAGAATCCAAAACACGTATGTATTATAAATGTGTTATTTTGTGTTTTTTTGTGTTTCGACACTTTGGGAAGCTACTCATAACACGTATGTGTTTTGAATTTAGGTCGACAAATAGTAGATAATACGTGTGTGTTTTCTCGTTTTGCTTGGAAAATCTACACAACACATATGTGTTACAGGAAACACCGCCATAACACATATGTGTTTTGCCCTCTGTTCCCGTGTAGCATTTTGTTGGTTTCAAGTTCTCCCGCTCTGACACAGCAGCTTCCCATGTCTGATCAGTTTCAGCTTGCCATGGATAGCCACGCAGACAGCGTTGCGGCGGCTGAGGCCGCGGCTGAGACCATGGTGCCCGCAAACGCTGAGGTGCCAATGGTAGCAGCTGAAGGAGCTGCGGCCCCACCTGTGGCAGCTGAGGCTGCGGAAGGTACTTGTGCAAAGTGCAGGTGCAAGCAGCGTCTGACAGACATGATTGAGCGCCAAAGTTGCCGCTCGGACCTGCGATACTGCTGCAAGGGGTGCCATGCATTGCAGACGCAGTGTCAGAGAAAGGGCATTCAGCTGCAGACGGTTCTCTCCGAAGAGCACCTGGTAGCCTTCTTTGCTGAGGCATCGTTGCAGCGCCGAGACGCTGAAGAAGGTAGGTTGTCTTTCATGAAGTCTCGGGCCCTGCTAAAGAGACACATGGTTGAAGAAGCCAGAAGGGAGGTGCGTGATGGGTGGCGCGGTGAATTCCTACCGCTATCAGTGTACGAGGTCAAGGGATTTGATACTGACTTGATCCGCGAGCGGGCGGACAAGGAGATCCACCCCATCCTTGGAGAGACTTTCAGGCTGGATGTGCACAGCGTTTCCGATGAGGTCTTGCACGCCACCGTGGAGAAGCGTCTCACAGAACTGGAGAACGAGTGTCTTCAGAGACGCGCACAGAGTGCGGCAGCGGGGAGCATGCCTGAACTAGACCTGCTGCTGGCCGCTGAGCCGGTGGAACGCAAGCGCAAGGGAGGCGCGCTTTCCAATGAAGAGAAAGAGGCCTTGAAGCGGCAACGGAAGCAAGAAAAGAAGCTGGAAGGAGAGCGTAAGGCCGCGACTGCCGCGGCGGTCAAGGTCTTACCCGCATTGAAGGACATCAAGAAGAAACTGGAGGATAAGGTCGGGAAGCTTGGTGAAGCCATGGAGCAAGTGCCGATGGCGTCGCACGAGGCTGTCGCAAATGCGCAGGAGAAGCTGACAAGCACTGTGGACAGTTGCTCCAAGTTGATTGAAGCGGCTGCAACGGGAAAAGCTGTGCCAGCTGTGCAGCTGCTTTCCCATAAGGATTTGCAGGCCGTTTCCAAACAAGGCGCTGCTGCTTTGCGTTCCCTGAATGACTTTGTCCGAGGACAAAAGGAGAACAGCAACCCGAATGCTGGGAACGGACGGGGCAAGGGCAAGAAATCGGATTGATCCTCTGTCTTCGGTGCCTGCAGCCATGGCGTACGATACTGGCAGGCGGTGCTTTTTTCGAAGCTTCCGCCTTGTGGCCAACATTTAATTCATTTGACTCTGTAGCCTTTGTTGACATATCCATGGGGTATCACAAGAGGAAGGGCTTGAGAAAAAGGTCGTCATGAGGGTCGTCGTGTTTTGCTGGGAGAAGATTTGGACACTTTCACTACTATAAATTAAATAATGCTTTGTTTCCCATAAGCAATGCGACCGCAGCCATTTTTTGCCGCACTGAAAGACTTGCTCTGCTCCCCGCTGCTTGCCATCCGGATATGGCATCTGAGTCTGTGCTGCTTGCTTCAGTCCTTGCACAGCAGCTCTATGATGGCCTTCGCCGTGACAAGACGCCAGGTCAGTTGCATGACCTAGGGCATGGGCCAGTGGAACTGCTGCGAGAGGTGGTCGGCTATATAGAACTTTCCGACGACGTGCCGGACCTCCGGCAAAGTCTTGCCGCTGTCCAGGCAACGCTGCTGCTGGTCCGAGCCTTGCTCCTTGGGTGGGACTGCCCACGCTTCAAGGAGCATATGTTCGAGCCCCCCATGCCAAAGCTGGCAAAGCATTGGCCGAATCGCCAGTGGCAATGCAAGCATCCCAGCAAGGGAACCGCTTTGCGAGAGGTGCAGTCCTGCCGCAAATTCATGGCAGAGAACGATCCTGTGTTCCAAGAGGAACCGTGGCTTTGGCTTTTTGACACACTGAACGGCATGGAGCTCGTGCTGCAACTTGTCCTGCAGAGCAACTGAGGCGGTGACGGACCGGGGCAACAAGTTTTTTTGGAAAGATTACGATGATTACGCGTGCCAAAAAAAACAAGACACTCGGTAAAAAAAATGTGTTTGCCATGCACGGGATTGCTATATTTGTTCCAAATTACCCTATAATCATGATACTATATTTATATATATATGACACTTTGATACAATTCGCTCGTTCCTCTACTATTTTTTGTGTATACTTTATTTGCCTTTCCTGCCCAAGGCCATGTACGACAACAGTACCGCAGCTACAGGTGCTGGCCGGCATGCATGCGGCCGCCATGCCAGCGCAGCACCCGCTGCCAAGCGGCAAAGGCTCACTTCAGCCATGGCCAGATACAGTGTGCAGAGCATTGACGCGATGCAACGGCTGCTGCAGGCTCGAGAAGCTGGCAAGCAACCAAGCGGTGCTGCCAAGCGAGCTTTTGCGAAAGCCTTGCAGCCGAGTCGAAATTGCTATAAGCTCTTGTCGGCCAAAGCACAACAGGAAGAAGACGAAGACATTCTGTTTGCTGCAGCTGACATGAAGTCTTTGCTCAGATACATGGCCGAAGCGAGCCCGAGCTTCTTGGAGCTGTTAAAAAAAGCTGCCATGCCGCTTAAGTTCATCGTGAGCCACGATGAGGCAACAGCAGGGAACGTGCTTTGCACAGAAGCCCGGCTGAAGGCCATGATGTTCTACGGAACATTCACAGCCTTCGCAGACTTCATTGACTCTCCTCATGCCTGGATTCCCTTAGCTGTCATTTCTCATTGGCAGGTAAGCCGAATCAAAGGCGGTATGGGGGCTGCCCACAGAATCTTCATTGAAGATTTTGCCGCTCAGGCGCTACAAGATAGCTTTGAAATTGCAACTGGCTGTCAAATCCAGGTGCAACTCGCTATCATGATAGCAGACATGGAAGGACAGAGAATGGCTCTGTGCTCCAAGGGCTCAGCAGCATTAAAACCATGTGCCTTTTGTTTGGATTGTGTTTGCAGAGATGCCACAGCGGCCACAAATGACCCACAATTCCGGACAATTGCAGAGCCGGATATTAACCTGTTCACGCCCCAAAGCCACAACCAACTGGAGGCATACATGGCCAAAAATTTTGCAGAATTAGCATCAATGAGCAAGGGCACAAAAGAATTAAAAGAGCGTTGTGTGGGCTACCACATAACAGAGGATGGTATGTGGGCCTCAGCCGTGTGCTGCAGGACACTACCACTGCATGCCTTTCAAAACGATTCAATGCACTGCTACTTTGCCAAATGGCATTGTGTCATCTGAGGTAACGTTGTTACTCCATGAAGTGCAGCGCGTGACTAAAAAGGGGCCACAAGAAATTCTGCAAGCATGTTTGCGCGCAGGTTGGCAACGCTCCGGACCGGCCAAGAGAAACGGAGAGAATGCAGGCTGGTTAAAAAATGTTCACGCCAGCCTTTTTCCAAGGGAACTTATATAAGGGCTCAGCGAAACAAACCCGCGCGTTGGCGGTTTTGCTTCGATGGCTGTGCGAAAGCGTCTGGATCAAAAATCCAGAGCTTGCTGCAGCTGCAAACAGCTTTTTGAAGCTGGGGAAGTGCAACGAATGCTTGCGCCGCATTACGCAGCTCAAGAACTATGATGATCTCGAGAAACACCAAAGAGAACATCACATAGCTTTCCAAGCCGCCTTTCCGGACTCTCTTCGCCCCAAGCACCACCACCGATTACACCTTCCAAAACAGTACAAAGACATGCCGGCAATAGCAACGTGTTGGGGCACGGAAGCAAAGCATAAAGATTACAAGGGCGTCTTCAGTACCCTTGTGCAGCACTTCCTGCAAGAAAAAACGGCGGAAGTGAATTCAGCAAGCAGCTACTGCCAAGACTATTGAACAGACACTGCGAACTTGTGAACGAAACCCCGTTCACAAGTAAGGGCTTCCAGCTGCTGCATCCTTTCGAACCCGCTGAGGTTGAACGCGCGACAACAATGCGTGGCTGCCGTATCTCAGCACAATGTCGTGTCAACATGTTGGAATTGAAAGAAGGAGACGTAATTCTGTGGAATTACCCGGTGTACAGCGCTGGCATTATCAACTTCTTCATTGAAGAAGACAAACAGTTGTTTGTGCACTTGACCCTTTGCCAAAACATGCTTTACAATGCTGAGGCATTGCTCTCGTTCCGAGCCTTGAATGAGAAGATTGTGCTTAAATGGGCACATCTGCTGGCACCAACGGTGCCCAGCTGGTTGCAACAGCGCGACTTAAATCAACTGATTTGCTTGCCGTGAACAAGAAAAAGGAAGAAAAGGACCGCTAGAAGTAAAGAAACAAACGAAATCAAGAAAAACAACAGATTTCTTGGTTCTGATCGAATAAGTGTACAAAAACCTACTCAAAAATAACTAAAAACAAGTTAGCTAAGTTATAACTTAAGTTATAAATAGCCTAACTTAAGTTATGTTAACTTAGATATAAGTGCAATAAGTCAATTTATAACTCCATTAACTTAGTTATATCTTGGGGGCATGTCCTTGTAAGTATGCTTAGTCGCACAAGTTGCTTGTAACTTGCATAACATAGACCGCACACTTGAACTACTTAGCCTTCTTGCAACCTATGTTGCGGCACTTGTAACCGGGTTACAAGCTAGTTGTAACCACTTGCAAGTGCTGTAACCAAGCCCGGTCCACCAAGTAAGCCATCAACGCCAAGACTTGGGAAACGAAACACATCCGATCGCACTCAGTGAGCCATTCGGTCAAGGGCAAACGGACGGAACATGCCTTGCCGGCCCGCCTGCATGCCACATCATGTAGAAACAAGATGCGTTTGACAAACAGTTCTTGTTTGAGGAAGTCCACCGTCAGCACTTGGCACCATATGTGGCAAGTTCTGGCTCCAGCATCACAGGGCTGCCCACCAAGCAGCCATCGATCATCTAAAAGCAAGACGTTGCTGAAGGCTGCAGGGGGTCAGAATATATGCCAGAAGAATGCATTTTGGTGGGGATCACTCGAAGAAAGCATGATTCTCCCTAGCCCCGCTACGCCGTTCTGTTGTGAAATTGAATTATTTGGGACAAGAAAAATCGGGTAAATAACCATTACATACTACATTCTTTTAAGTGTTTTTTAGATAAACCCGGTTCGTAATTCCACCAGCCTGACGCTTCAAACTTGAAGCAATGCAAGTGCTTCTGGAGGAGCTCAAATGCTTTCTCGCAGACACCAACCTGAGCAACTCAGGCTGGAGGGGTGCGAGAAGGGGTAACGGAAATCATCCGCAATAACTTTATCTTTGATTGCACTATGGAGTTGATGGATCAAGTTGCCCCAAAATGTTTGGCGGATGGGTTTGAAATGGGGTTGTCTCAAATAGGGCAGGGCCCAGAACTCATAAGTTCAGGCTCACTTTCTAAGGTTTCGGCACCCTTTTTTTGTTTGTTTGGGGGTGGTTGCAGAATAGACTTTGGAATGTTTGTTTGGTGACACAAGTTACTTGGTCCAATTTTTCTTAACACCAAGCTACCTTGAACCCATAAAGTTCATCCATGGCAGTTTTGTCCAGTCGGTAGCGGGAGCTGACCTCAGCAATGCCATACTGGTTGTACTCTTCCATCGCAGCAAAGAACGCATCCTTGTACTTTGACTCCGGGTACTTGACGGTGTCCTCATGGTTTTGAATTTTGATAATTGTCTGATAGAAGATGGAACCACGGAACCGTGTGAAATTATCTTGAAAATGTTTCAAATTTCGAGCCCATATCCTCACATTGGAGTTCCCGGGCTCTGGCCGCAAAAGTCAATACCTTCTGTAGGATGTTCTTCCGTTGCCTTTCACTTTGTTGTTCATGCACCTGGATCCTGCGCCACCTCAGCTCCGCGACCCCTGCAGACTGGACCTTGCACTTGAGGGACTTCACAGAGTGGAGCCACCTGGCAAGAATTTGGCCGGGTTTGGCAGGATTGATGTGGAAGCCACTAGACCCCCCAATGCATAAAAGGATCACTTACCAAAATGGGAAAGAAGCAAGATCCTAAGACGACGGTCCCACCCGGACCATCACGTAAGCTTGGCCCTGGGGAACCCTAGACCCAGCTCCCAAAATAGCTCGGAACATGAATGGGCACCCCCAAAATATAGATTAGACAGCCGCAAAATAGCTAAAGTATGCCCAAAATAGTTGGGAGCACTCCCAAAATAGTAATAACCATGTCCAGGGACCTGGTCCAAGACGACGGTCCCACCCGGACCATCACGTAAGAAAATTGGATTTGTGCTGTGATCCAAAGTGACCCTTTCATCCCTTCAAGCTATTTTGGGAACTATTTTGGGGATTATTTTAGGAACTATTTTGGGGACTATTCTGGGGACTATTTTGGAACTATTTTGGGAACTATTTTGGGGATTATTTTGGGAACTATTTTGGGGACTATTCTGGGGACTATTTTGGAACTATTTTGGGAACTATTTTGGGGATTATTTTGGGTACTATTTTGGCCACTATTTTGGGAAGAGTTTGTCTACTATTTAACTATATTTGGGAGCTATGTCTTGGTAACTACTTAAGAGCCATATTGACCTATGATGGGAACTTTATTGAACTATGTTGGGAGTTGTCATTTAATCATTTAACTATTTTGGGAACTGTTTTGAACAATTTTTAGACCTATCTTGGGAAGACAATAACTATGATGGGCCTGGGGCTTCAATTTTTTAAAGACACCAAGCCAGGCCTGATGAAATCCGACTTGGCATCTCCATCCATGGAATCCCTGTTGAAATAGCTCCAAAGAACTGCCCACAAGATGCAGGAGACACGCCCCAGACCTTTCGTGGGAATAAAGGAACGGAATCCATGGTCCACCAGGTCCACCCGGTCATTCAACCGAATCTCAAGAATTTCACGATGGCCTTCATAGCCACGGTGCCACACATCCTTTGCAGTGACTAGCCACGCATGAAAGAGAGGAAGACCATCTGCCGGGGGTAGAAAATAGATGGCCAAGAGA